CCCCCCGCGACCTCTTCGTGGACGTGGGCCTGGTGGTCGTCTGGGGCGGTACCCGGGGGGTTGGGGGCCCTCGGGACGCCACGGCAGCGATGGTCGTGCCGAGAGAGAGCGGGCATGTGGAGGCCCGAGGCACGCGCGCTCCGGCCACGGGAGATAGCAGGCGTACGTAGTGTACTACGTCCACGACGACGGCGGCTACTACGAGGATCACGGCGACTACGACGACGGCTACTACTACGACGATGGCTACCACAACTCGGGGTACGCCCACTACGTCGAAGCGGGCACCGGAGACAGCTACAGCTACTCTGAGGGGTATGAAGACAGCCGTACGTCTGACGGCGGCATCCACTACGTCTACTACCCTCCTGCCGGCGAAGGTTCGTCCTCAACTGAGCAGACACGTCAGCCCCCCCCGAGCAGCAGCAGCACCGCTTCCCCCTCGTCCTCTATTCCTTCTCCTGGAGCGCCTCCATCTTCGGGTTATCTCCACCTCTGCACGGCACAATCTGTGCCTCTAGGCAAGTCTCACCCCCATGGTTTTTATGATAGGATAGGTGTGACGATTGGAGTGGAGTCTGTTTCGAGTGCTTCGTCTTTGCTGAGTGTAGAGTCGAGTGAAGAACCGCCTGGTAGCGAGAAGAGGGTAGCAGATTCTGGAGCAAGCAACAGCTTCACCAACAGCGACTTGCACATGTACGACTTGCAGGAGATCCCATCGAATAGGCAATATGTCATTATAGGAGATGATCGTCTGCTGAAGGTGAAAGCAATCGGTAGCATCAACCTCAGCTTTTTCCAGGAGGGTGATAACGGTGTGCCAACGACGATGGATGTGAAGCTGACTGACGTGTCTGTGGTAGAGTCTGAGTTTCAACTTGTTTTCGACGCATGCTGTTTCCCTTCGGCAACGAATAATCCATGACGAGCGTGGCGTGACCCTGCGTGACGGACTGCTGCTTGCTAGAGAGGAGAAAGCTTCTGCCGCCTATGCAATGCGCATGCCTTACGACCCGTCTGCGATTGTGGTAGACTCTGCTGCTTTGCCTGCCTTCGTCAAATCCCTCGATTCCACCCCCGCTGATGGTCCAACTTCCCCTTTCCCCAACGGGAGCTCCGTGGAATTATTGGTGTCTGTTTTGCGTGCACCGCCCGCTGGCTCTGCTAGCATTGTACCTCCGACTGACAGCGTCCCGCCCACTGGTCTCGCCAGTGTAGTCCCTGTGCATGACAGCGTCCAGCCCACTGGTCCCTCCAGTGTAGTTTTTGAGCATGACAGCGTCCCGCCCGCCGGTTCTACCGACGTCGTACCTCTTTCGGCGTCCGGTTTTGAGTGTGTGGATCTAGAAGATACGAGTGTCTTCACCGACGAGCTGCTCATGGACGGGTATGACAATACCCCGTACCAAGATTTTTTCACCGCGTTCATGCTAGAGAATGAAGCTGCGATCGCGGCTGGTGTTATGGATGGAATTGATGGTGGTGTTGGCTTTGACGTGGGTGTGGCTGCTCTTGGTCCTGGTGCGTCCCCGCTTTCCATTTGTTCGACCGACAAGTCCGTCGACATCAACCGCTTCCACCGTTTCCTTGCCCACGCTTGTGAACCTCTATTGAGAGAAACTGCCCGGCAGAGGGGCATCACTCTCACGGGAACGTTGGAACCATGCACGGACTGCATGAAGGTGAAGGGCAAGAGGGCGTCGGTGCCGAAGGGGCCGGGAGCACGGGCGTCGAAGCCACTCGGGCGTGTTCACCTGGATCTGTGTGGCGCCTTCCCTGGGCGGCAACCTTTACCTGTTCGTCGCGCTCGACAGCGCCCCGCGGTGGAACAAGATCTACGGTCTCCGGCGGAAGTCCGACGCGCTGGCGGCTACAAAACGGCTGCAGGCGGACGTGGGGCGGTACGACCTCGGCCGCATCGAGTGCTACCGGATCGACAACGGCACCGAGTGGACCCGGGGCGAGTTTCGGCGTTTCCGCGACGACAACGGCATCGGCGTCGAGTTCACCCCGCCTGGCGTCCCGCAGTACAACGGCGTCGTCCAGAGCGCCATCTGGCGCATCATGAAGGCCGGCATGGCCGCTCGCCGCAGCGCTGCCCGTGTGCTCAACGTCGACTACGCCTCAATCCCCGGCCTCGACCCGCGCGGTGACCGTCTTTGGTTGGTTTCTGCGAAGTGGGCCGCCGACGCTTTCAACCAGTCGGCGACCAAGGCCAACCCCGGGCGTCGCTCTCCGCACGAGCTATTCACCGGTCAGCAGGGGCCGTTCCGCGTGCTGCCGTTCTTCCAGCTCAGCTACATGCGTGAGGATCGCCGCACCAAGCTCGACGACCAGGCCACCCTGTGCTATTACCTGAACGGCGGCGACAACCCCCCGAGCGGCACCGTCAAGGTCCTCAAGGCGCCCACCGGCCGCGTCGTCTACACCAACAATGTGTCGTGGGTGGCGTCGTCGCCAGCTGGCGAGGGGGGTTCCGCTGGCATCCCCGCTGCGCCGACGCCTCCCCCGTTCACGCCGGTCGTCTTGATCAACTTCGGCCCAGCCCCGACGCCTTCGACCGCCGCACAGTCGCCGCCAGCGCACACGCCCACGCCGTCGCCCGCACCCGCTCCTGGCCAGCCGCCCTCTGCCGCTTCGCCGTCATCGTCGGCGACCCCCGCTCCTGGCCAGACTCCTTCTGCCACATCGCCGTCACCGTCGGCGACCCCATCTCCAGTTCAGCTACCGCCGTTGCCGCCGCCGCCGCCGCCGCCGGGCCCCGCGTTGCCCCCGCTCTCGGCTCACGCCATGCGGCAGCTTCGCCCGGGCAAGAAGGCCGAGGGTATGAAGGACCCGCGGCTGCCAGGCCGCACGAGATCGGGCACGAGGCACAGCACAGGGCTCATCTCGATACTGGACAAGAACACTCTGGTATCGATGCTGGAGGCCCAGAGCGCGATGGAGGAGAAGCACAGGGAGCCAGGGGGAGCGGGGAGCGGAGAGACGGGGGGAGCGGAGACCGGAGAACAGGGGGGAGCGCTCGCAGCCGTGGACCTGGGGGCTGGAGGAGCGGGCTTCTCACTTGCATGTGCCACGCTCCTCGCCAACCGGTTNCGATACTGGACAAGAACACTCTGGTATCGATGCTGGAGGCCCAGAGCGCGATGGAGGAGAAGCACAGGGAGCCAGGGGGAGCGGGGAGCGGAGAGACGGGGGGAGCGGAGACCGGAGAACAGGGGGGAGCGCTCGCAGCCGTGGACCTGGGGGCTGGAGGAGCGGGCTTCTCACTTGCATGTGCCACGCTCCTCGCCAACCGGTTAGACATCGATGCCATGCTGCGCGACCAGCGCCCGCCGGAGCAACGCCCTGATCACCCGCACTGCCAGGCGAGCGACCTTCGCATCCCCAAGAGCTACGACGAGGCTATGGCGTCGGAGTATCGGCACCTCTGCGGCGACTCGATGAAAAGGGAGCTCTTCGAGTTGCTGGAAGCGGGGACTTTTCTCCGGCGAAGTAGCAATCAGTGCAGAACGCGATAAACGCGGAGTGGGTATTCAATTGGAAGGCAGATGAGTTTGGATGGGCCACTAAGGCCAAGTCGAGACTTGTAGCGAGAGGTGATATGCAGAGAGAGTACATTGACTTTGGAGAGTTGTACGCGCCTACCGTTTCTGTTTCGTGTGTTAGGATGTTGGCTGCGTTGGCGTGCGAGTTGAACCTCGACTTGTGTCATTTCGATATTGAGCACGCTTGTGTGCGTTCGGAGTTGGAAGAAGACGTATATATGCGATGGCCGCAGGGATGTGGAGCTCTATCTGGAATGATTGTAAAACTAGGCAAGAGTCTGTATGGCTTGAGACAGGCATCTAGGCAGTGGCATGCAATGCTGAAGAGGTGTTTGGTGGCGTTAGGATTTGAGCA